ATGTATTGGAACAGTAATACATTTAATACATTGTCGAACAATTATTATTATCTACTAATAAAGAATAATAAATGATGACGCCTAATACCATGAAAACAAATTGAAAAATTGACAAATGAAAAATTGTTTTTTTATAATATGAAACTTTAGAAATTTAATTAATTTGTATAATAAATCTTTAATAAAATAACAATTAATGTCGTATCATTTACTTAAAATTGATCATGCCACTATCACTCGTTATTTAATACTATGATTACAACTAAATAAAGAACACAAAAAAAAAATTGTAAACGAAAAAACAAGAGGACTATAATTCAAACCTAATTATAAAGATTTTATGTACCTGTACATCAGAACTAAACGAACCTAAATTACGTAGTTTTTCTGGACAGCATAAAAACGTTGTCTAGCATACGCTCTTATGAGAACAGAGAACTTCCATTAGTATACCCTTGTAAATTATAAAATAACATAATTTTCAACAGAATTCCGATATTAACACAAAATTAAATTCTTCATGCAAAACTGTAATAACCTGAACATCGACATTTTAGGACTTCTTTTAAGTATTTCTAAAACAAGGTTTTTGTGAGTAGAATTTTAAAGAAGCCGTTCTATCATATTTGTAATTATTGTGATTTAAAATTGCTTGTATTTAAAAAGTCCAAATAAAAAAATAATCTCCCTCATCTCTCATCCTCGTCTATGAAATCTGATATTTTTAATTAAACAACATTTAACATTATGTAAGCATCGCTCAATATTATTTAGATTCTTCAGGTATTTCTGAAATTTTTATATTTTATAACCTTTTATGGTTCTCTCAAATGTGAAATGGCGAAGAAAAAGCTATTGCAGAAGATAGCCTTAAGTTATGTCGTTAACGTTTAAAATTCGTTATTTCCATCGGACTGACTTACTAAATAATTTACTTGAATAAATTATTTGTGTTGCTTTTTCTAGACTTACCGTTTAGGCAGACTAAACAAATGTATAACACGGTCCGTTCGTAATCGCTTAGGCACGCTGCAACCTTATCTCGGTTGACACAGAAAAGTGTGGCAGATCCGTTATTCTGTCGTGCTGAATATAATGCACACAACATGAAATTAAGTTTATTGTATTTTATAAGTACACTAAATGCCGGCGTAACGCGCAGCAGTGGTGTATGTTTACATGAAATGAGTTTTGGTTGACAAATTGATGATTACAAATTATTGAGGTCAGATAAAATCGATTAATCCATTAGGCTTACCTATACGTATAGAGTATCTGTACCTATACCTGTAGTCGCATATTTATGTCCGGCCAAAATCGTTTCGGGTTAGTGCCAAGGCGGATCATTTGACCTAAACGGGTAGTGTTTTTTTTTTTTTAAATATATATCGGTGAAATACCGCTCTGGGGTTATTCGAAATTAATCGAAGAGAGAACGCATTTTAATTCATCGTGAGCAAATAGTAGTAATAATAATATATGCGCCATAATTAATTCATACACGATCAAAATATGAAATGTAATAAATAAGCAACGTCCGCCCGGATGAAGTACGTGCCTGGCAAACGTTTTATTAGAAAAATCCAAACGGTGATCATCATCGTGTACCGGATAATTATTAAGAAAAAAACAACTATCTTCGATTCTCAGGTTGCAAGTAATTTAAACGGAACGTAGAAAAAAAGAAGAGGTATTTTTTTTATTAATATCTTAACCACTTGTGGTCATGCGATCATCCGGTTAGCGCAGAAAGTTGCGGTAATTTCGGTAAAATATTATATTATGTAGATACACACAGTTTCCTTTTTTTTAGAAATATTATTAACAACAAATAAACCTGTCACGTTATATAGCTACATAACGTTATATACAGCCAGGTGGGCAGTCGCTTTTTCAATTTAATATTAGCATATTATGCATTCTGAAAAATGCCGTAGCGTTGGGTTAATTAAAAAAAGTAAAAAGCTGTAAGTAGGTAAACGACTTAACGCCTTCTTATTTTTCTTTGGCCTAGCGCGCAGCGTTTACTTACTTATATATAGTCTATAGAAATTAAAATTGTTATTATACTAAAATATTTGTTTTAAGAAACTCAAAAAATTCCACAAAAAAGGGAGGTAATGACTCATATAAATAGAATACCCTAAAAGACAACATATTTCTTTATTCCTATGCACCATAAAAGTAAATTTTTTCAAGTTGCAACTTTTACTTTTAAATACATCATACATCTTTGAATTATTCCACATCCACAATGTGTCTTTTATTTGTGAGAACACTTTCCAATGTTTTTTATCTTTAAATTAAACCATATAAGTTATAACCTGCATCCTGTCAATTTGTTTTTTTTTTGAAAGTTGGGGCCTATAGTAATGCCATTAAATACAAAATCTAATAAAAATCAATAAGTTATTTTATTGATAACAGTAGGATGGGTTAAGAGAACGTTAAACCCCCTCCAACTCGGGTTGTTCAGTATGGGCAATTTTTTAAAATCTAAACTTTAAGCTAAAACTATTTTCATAACCTGAACATAGCTTCTCATAATAAGTTGTACTCATTCTATGATAGTTTTATAGCAAAAATACTTGTTATGAAAACAAAAGATAATAACATATTCTATTTTTAATATCTTTATTGTTTAGCTTGATACTCAATGTTAAATAAGATACTTTTTACTTTTCTAGAACAGTGATAACTCTTTTTCTAAAAATTATGTTGATGAAAACGATAGGCTCTCGTCTCTAAAATGTTGTTTTATTTAATTTTCATCATGGGTAAATTTAACTCTAAATCCATCATGTTTCTAATAAAACGCATTTTTCGTAGTTAGTTTTACACTAGAAAATTGGGAGTATAACATCCTCTAGGTAGTAAAATAATAATTCTCGATGGCTTCAAATGTATTTATTTAAATGTGTTGTTATTGATTCTATGTAACAATACAATGTATAATAAGAAACCTATAGTTCTTAAAAACGAATGTTATACAAACGCCATTGCACAAGTTAAACAAAAGAGTCACGCTAAGTAAATTAAAATTATAATTTTTAAGGATAATATCAACATTTAAACAGCTTTTATGACAAGCTGAAACAGTCTTAAGCGCCATACTACACCAATGCAACGCGATATCAAGTAGCAAAATCATGGTTTTAATTTTAACGTTTTGCAGGAAAATTATGTAAAATAGCTGTAGAACAGTTACAACCACGGTTGTCTACTCAGTAGACAACCGTGGTTACAACTATGGAGTATTTAATAATTAAAAATGCTAATTTTGACCGTAGACTTTTGGCTGTGTTACGATTACTGCGACAGAACAGCGTTTGAAATTTGGCTATCATTAATTAGCCAATCATTATTAGCCCAAGAGCCAACGCCGGACATATCTCTGTGAAATGCTAATCATTGTTTGGATTACTTAATAGTAAATAGAAGCAAATGAACCTTTGTAGTAGGGTTGCTTGCTGTGCGGCTTATCGCCCTATACCAACCTCTCAGTAACGAATGAATGAGTTTTTTTTTTACAAAAGCCAAAACGTTTCTAACCAAAAAAATAAGAAAATTTGGTAAGCCAGAAAACGAATACTTCCTTTCTACTGAAAATAAATCTATTTAAGAACACTCTATGTTTAGTTTATTCTAGTATTGTATAAATATTATTGTTTGGTATTTAATTGGGACTGAAAATCGTTTAAACGTTAACGAACCCTTAATGATCGTTTTCACACTGGTACCTGGAATTGACCATAAGTAATGAACTAGATTACGGTAAAATATTAAAACTTTGTATAGACACTAATTTTGGCATTCGATCGTGTCGTTCGGAGTTATTTATTTGGCTGGTAGAAATATTGTTAAATAACAAATAAATATACAATTCTGTCAAAATAATAACATATTTAACATAAAACTTTCTTTGTTGGGAATGTTTGCGCAAAGTTATAGAGCAATTAATGTCCATATAACTTTCTCGCAAAGTTTTAACCGGTGAGACTAAATCTAAAACGGTCTGTCCAAAAACATTAAAAGTTTGTAAAATCAAACGAAAGTTTCGGTACCACGAGATCCTTTTGTGATTAATAACCAGGGAGTGTTGTTTGTAAAATTAAACTTTAATATAATTATAATTCGCAGCAGCGAGCAATTTGTTAAAGGCTTCTTTGGACATATTCAATATAAATACGTCAAAATAATTATTCTTCGAGTTTTTGATTGTGTTTCATCAGCATGCGTTTTCCTTCAAAATTCCGTTAAACAACACCGGGGTCACAAATTATCATATAAATTAGAAATATGATAAATATTGTTGACACTCAGTTAACGAATGAAGAAAGGAACTTAAGCTTTAGACAAAATAATTTATTTTATTCAGTGGTAATCATTACTTTTTATCACACAAATTGTGATCTCACTTCATAGAATTTTGTTGAGAATATGCCAAAAATTAGTTGTAGTTTGTTCCTATCATGTTGTCTAAATATGCTAAAAATGTACAATTTAACACTTTCTAATTTTATCTTTTTGATTTTGCAGTGGTCACTGGAATTATATCATTGACTTTTTAAATTCGGTTGTCATATTAAACCAATAAGGAAGAAATTTGCCTTGGATTATAAATTTGAGTATGACCGATCACCCCCTTCTCCTCTCTTCCACCTTTAGGCTTAAAAGGTAAATCCTTCAGGTAAATATTAGTAACTTGGAAATTCAGACCTTCTATAACTTTCAAAACTTCTGATTTCATAACTTTTCAGTTATCATAGAAAACTACAGGTACGGTACCGTACATATTATTATTTTAATTAAAATTAAAAATGTGTCATTTACAAGTTGAAACGCTTTCTAGCGGACAACTAGATTGATTATTATTTATGATTATTATTTTTGTTTAGGAGAGTAACCGCTAGATACCGTTAGGTACACATTATTATATTTCATATCTAACAAGTAACCGCGTTATTATTAGTTATCACTGGATTTCCTTATCAGTTATTTTCAAATGAGAATTAGATTACACTTAAGACTTTTTACTTTTTGTAAAATACTTCTAAATAATAATAGGTACCTAGTTTTATTAATTATTTTAGAAGACAAGATTAAGATTACTATTTAGGTATACTGTTTAAATTTACAACTTTATATTGTAAGTAAATATTTTAATTTTTATGTAGTATACCTACTCACATTAAACATGTATAATTTTATTATATTTCAAGATAATATTATCATGCCTCCCAAGAAAAAACCTGCAGCTTCCGGTCCTAAGTCCGGTGGTTCCAAAGGATCTAAAACAAGTGATGACGGTGGCAAGACTAAAGAAACGAAAGGTGGAAGTGCTGTAAAAGTAAGTTCAGAATTTCATTGATGGAAGTGTGATTCATGTGGTTACGTTTTATACAGGATTCGATTGCCTGTATAAATTATTTTATCACGATGCTGATAAATGTAATGGCGGAGTTATGGAAATGTTCTGATTTTCGATTATTTCATGGCGGTTTCATGTATATGATTTTCAGCTTATAATTATTATTGTTTAAAAGAGAAAACTTAATGTTTATTAAAAAAAAGGTAATTTTAATTCATAGTAAAAGTATGATTGATCTCACCTGTTCCTACTAAACTAGTAATTCATCACTAAAATATAAATGATACCTATTAGCTCTCTAAAAACAACCTCTATTGAGAATTAATAGTTTTCTAAATAACTATATTTACTTGTACATTTAAATCATATTATAATTTTGTTTGTAATTTTAGGTAAGACATATTCTTTGTGAAAAACAATCAAAAGTTTTGGAAGCATTAGAAAAATTACAAGCTGGAGGAAAATTTAATGAAATTGCAGCACAATATAGTGAAGATAAAGCAAGGAGTGGAGTAAGTTTTAATTAAATGAATAAGACTGTACAACACAATTTCTGAACAAGAACCAAAATACATCCATGTCATAGGATTTTTCACGTTATATCTCAATCTGGGCTTTAGATTTTTGTAAATTTTTTCAAAAGTTGTAATAGACATAGTTTCTTGCTAATAAAATTTGAAGTTATTACACGTATAACAACTAAATTTTTTTTTTTTATTCTTAATTATTAATAATACTATATCTTTATTATTTTAACTATATAGGGCATGTCATAATTTACCTCTTATAATGTATTAAATTATATCTTTAACTATATGAGAAACAAAACGATAACAAGTAGTCGAGTGCAGGGGGAGAGGAAATGTGTAGTACTCAATGTTGCTAGTGCTCCATTGGCTGGGCGAGAAATCGTTTAGGTAAAACGAGTTGCCCCTCTCCATCGACAGTTTATAGTCCTGTTTAGGAATAAGTTAATGTTAAAATAGAACCAATTTCTTGGATAATTTTAACATATTTGATTGTTTGGTGAAATAAGTCTTAAGGTTTTATGTGTTTATGAGATTACATTTAGATTTTTAATGTTTCTTGTACAAATATAAAATATACAAGTACGTTGGATCAATATTTTAATGGTGTATTAAATTATTTTTAAAATTTTTAGGGCGACCTAGGTTGGATGATACGCGGTTCAATGGTTGGTGCTTTTCAAGATGCTGCATTTGCCTTACCCATATCTAGTTTGTCTAGTCCAGTATACACCAATCCGCCAGTTAAAACCAAATTTGGCTATCACATTATAATGGTTGAAGGAAAAAAATGATTATTTAAACAACTGCACTAACTGTATTAAAATAATTGTTTTTATTATAATTCTACTCGCCTAAGCATAAAATTTCACCAATAAAATATTATGTATTTGTGATATTAATAATGTTACTATTTTATTTGAATTTTAAAAAAATATGTCTTCATCCATATGCACAATTTACATAATGTAAATTATAAAGTAACATAATATAACTCATGACTAAAAATAACAAAAAAAAATTTACTGGCAATAATAACTAAGTTTATTTTTAGGAAACAGTTTTTTTCTGTTTTCAATTACATAACATACTCAACAAAATATTATTCAAAAATATGTCACAAAATTACATTACATATGTATTTTTCTTGATATGTTTACAAACTGAAAATGTATATTATTGTAATTAGATAATAGCATGTTCACATAATTTTAAAGTTGTTAATGAAAATATGTTTATTCATCAAATCTAACATTTAAGTTTAATACAAAATTTAGCTTTCCATTAGTGTTTTTAATGATACTGAAAAACTTATATTGTTTTTGAAGTTTCAAAAATGATAAAAGTTGTTAATTTGAGTCAATAGTAATAATTATTTAAATAGTTTAATTAACTATATAAATAGTTACTCTGACGAAATAATATAAAATTAGTTTAAGGTAAAAGGTAGTGTTTTCCTTTTATTCTTAAGTAGCTTACTTAATTAACTGTTTAAACCATTATTTTTAACAAATAGAAAACTAAAGTACTTAAAGCAAATTATAAATTATGATTTTTTTATTAATCTACTAAAATACATTAACAGAGGTAATTGTACATTCTACTGAAATTAGAAACAACAATCTGAGTTAAAATAATATATTAATAAAAAAATAGTATTAATATAATTGAACACAATATAAGAGCTTAAACAATGTTCGATAATAGTAGAGATTTAATTATTGTTAGTTACCTAATGAGGAACTGGGCATTTAACAAAGTTAATCATTGGTGAGATTATACACAAAAGTAGAAGACAATAAAGTATATTTATAATAGTGATAGGAATTGGAAAATCCGGATTTTCACAAAAAAAACGCTTTTTAAGCTACTTAAAAATCATTTAAGTGTTAAATAATTTTACAATATAAACCTCTATATCTAAGTAACATTTTTTTGATAAATATGTGAAAATAAAACAAAACACCAAAGAGATAAACTGCTTTTGAATTTCGGATTTGTTGAAATCCGAAATCCGAAAGCATTTTATAGACAAAGTTAAGAGTTTTTTTTTTAAATTTTTATCAACAAATTTTACTTAAGTACACATCTTTATATTGTAATAGTATTTAACAATTATATGATTTTCAAATGACTTAAAAAGCGTTTTTTTGAAAAATCCGGATTTTCGGATTCTCATCACTAATTTATAATCGTTCGTACGGTTTCTATAAAAATAGAAAAACTACTTTTTTTAAAATTTAAATAACTATTTACACATTTTACGATAATGTATAATATTTGTATCAATGTAGGTACGTCCAACAGCTTGCTGTCCGATAGCCACAGATACTGATCTAAGACAATATATTGTTGTCGACGCTGCTTTTCTTCTGAAAATTATTATTATAGTAAAACGTTAAATTCTTCATAAATATTTCTTTTATGATAATATTTTATCGTATCGCTGTTTCTTTTGCTGTTCATTGTTTTATTTCAAGCCATTGAACCCAACTGTACTTTATCGTCGCTCACCATACTCCTCAGTCCATCAATATATTTTCCCTATTCACCTAAGTAATCTGACCACGTCTCCTATGTGCGTTAATCTGTCTGTTCTTTATAGTTTATGCCTTATAGTTTTCTCCACCTCTCGTTTCCTACACGTTAAAGTCTTCTAAGCTTGTATTTTTTCACTTTATTATTTAGTTATTACCTAAGTGGAAGAACGTTGGTAGGTTTTAAACGTAATCACGAGGCAAGGTTTAAAACACTTAAAAGTAAAAAGGTATGTTTTCAAAATTAAGTAAATCATATAATTGTAGAGTTCAGAGTTACTGCTGTCCCATGATAAAATATAACCACTGATATATCTTAATACAAATAATTTTATACTCCATGTTAAATTTATTTTCAGAAATTAACAGATAATAATAATTTATAGTTTTTTTTATCGCAAGATTCAACACTTTAGGTGTTGTAGAACTTTTTTTGAACTAGTCAACTATTTTTTTTTTGTGCATTCTTTGATGAGTACTTTTTATGAAAGTTTGGAACAAATAGAAAAAAAAGCTAATTAATCTGTAAAGTTATAAATTATTACTTTTTATATGAACTTTTTATGTTATAGGTACTTGTTTATTTTAAAAGTATATTATTTCAGATTTTTAAAAATATACATTGTATTTTTTGTATAAAGAAAAAAATTGGTTATTTACTGTTTTTTTGTTGCTTATTATTATAAGTTATAATTTATAACTAAACAGTGTAAAAAAAGTATATCGATGTCAGTGGCGTAGCTACCGTAAGTGCAGGGGAGGCGGCACCTACCCCTTATGCGCATTCTATTTTATGGCGTTTTTATACGGTTTACTATACACGTCAACACGTAATATAGGGCGCATAAAAATGTCTTGTTCCTGGGCGCTTTAGTCTCTAGTTACGCCACTGATTGATGTATACCTGCATATTTTTGTACATTAGAAGGCGTCGCACCGCCCATTTTTAAGGAGTAAAGTATAGGCAATTTTTTACAAAATCTTAATTTAAAGGTTAATCTGTTATGTGTAATTATTAGTTCAATAACTAGGACTCTATTTCGGTAGTTAATTTATTTTTTGGACTATCACAGCATCCTTGAAAGCGATTTAAAAATGTTTTTTCATCTCTACTTTTTTAAGCAGATTGAAAATAACTCGCTTAATTTTGGATTTAGAGTAAAAGTTTTTATTATAAAATTAAAAGAGAACAATATTTCGGAGGGCAAGACTAATTTTTTTCATTATTCTAAGTATAACGCTCAATACATAGTTTAGAAATAACGACTATTTTAACATTTTTAAATTACTGTAACTTTTCAAAAAATAAATATTTTTTAAAAAATGTACCGTCTTGTCCTCTGGAATATTGTTCTCTTTAATTTTATAATGGGTACTTTTACTCTAAAACCAAAATTAAGCGAGTTATTTTCAGTTGGCGTAAACGTGTTTTTACCACTGAAAATCACCGGTGCGACGCCCTCTTAACGATAATAATTTTGGATACTGGACTACTAAATACATAAACAGTTGTATACCGGTTGTGTATCATTTAATAGTAATTTTTAGACATATCATGGTTTTTTTATTAGACACACCTGGTCATCTTATTTTATGAGTTCCTGTGCTGAAAATATTGCAGTCGCAAACTGTGCATTATTTGTATTACCAAATACCAATAAAGTATCATATTTATCGTACGTTTTCTTTCAAGCATATCCTACCTTCACATATCTTAGTTCTTTTTTTTTCTTCAAAATAACCACTATAATTATACCGCACACTTTAGTCTTTATTCTATCATAAGTGGTTTAAGTCCTATGTGCCACAGCGCTTTATTACATGTCATACTATGAAAATTATTGTATCATTATATTAAACGGTTCTACAAAATTTCGGGGAATTTTGTCCAAAAGATGAAACCTACACTATCCGAAGAATTTTACCGTGTCAAAAAAACCAAAATTGTCCTAGCACTTGGTAAAATGACCCCGTTGGTGTAAAAATGTACTCCCCGCACGTTGTTAATGGTTAATAATCAACTAAAACAAAAATCCTTAAACCGGCAAAGCCGCACTAAAAACACCCGAAATTTCGTCAAACCGTGTTTTATTAGTATTGTCATTAAAATCGTTAATAATAGGTAGGTATGTCATTCTTAGTAAGTAGGATAAAAATATAAAAATCTTCTCACGATAAGGTTATTTTTTAACACTTGGGTCATAGTTGTTCGACTCTTCAGTGTACTCGGTATCTCCATAGTCTCCGGCCGTCTCCTCGTCGGCACCTTCGTCGTACTCATCGTGCGGCGCCTCTGTTGTGTGTGTTATCGACGACGAGCGGTACGACTTAGTCGTGGTCGTCGTCTCCTTGGTTAGTGCACACGTTGTTAGTTGGCCCATATTATATGTATTTATTAATCTAATTAGTTCACACGAGTACCGTATCGAACACTCGGTTTTGGGTTTACCTTTTGAGGTCTCCAACCGCATCCCGGCAACGGCAGACCGTCCAAACCGATCGGACACGGTGCGTCCAGACCCGGCACTCCTTGGTCGCCTTTGTCGCCCTTGTCTCCTTTTCGGCCTTTCTTGCCGACCGGGCCCTGAAATCCAATACGGTTTATTTTTTGTTCCCTCTTTACGGCATATCACTATTTGACACTTACCGGCTCGCCTTTGTAGCCTTTGTCTCCTTTAGGACCCTAAACGATCATAAACACAAGATATTAATAATACACAACGTCGTGGTCGACAAACACGTGCATAATATTGTAATAACAGTGACGGACCAACAACTACGCACCGGATGAACGTTTACGACTATGGCCATAATATTATGGTCAGGGAACCATATTATATGACCATAGACCATAATATAGATGGAAGGGATCGTCTCAGAGAGACAATAGTATATTTTATTATTTTGTTTTATAGTTAAACCAAAATGAAATTTAGTTTCAAAGAAAAACCTCGGCGACGCTTCAAGGTCCGTCACTAAAATTTGGGAAAGACAGTTCCGAAGAATTAATTAACCATTAGCTAAGCGGGTGTACTAAATTTCTTACGCGAATATCTTTAAAATATAACATTTAAAATAGTTTTTATGTAATTATTAACAGTCAATCTAATCTTGGAGTAAAAGTTTCTTTATTTTTATGTGACATTACCACAAAGTTTGGCTTAATTAATGAATTTTATTGTTTACTACTTTTAAGATTAATCTAAAGTATAAGTTACACAAATTTCAGTTATTTAAGATGTCATCGGCAAAACATAGAAATAATATACAGTGCGAAAAGAAAAATTAATAGTAAAACTGTACAAGTCCTAAATAAACAAAAATTTCAATTACTATACAATAATTTGAACACTGATGTTAATGCGTTTCTTCAAATTTTACACTCCAAAATCAAAAATTCAGTTTTTTTATATGTAATACTTAAAGTACTCCCAAGCAGAACTGTATTTGATTTAGGCAACGCGTTTTTAAAAATTAGTGTTAATACATTAAAATAGATGAACGAAGTTAGTATGTACATATGAAATACATTTAGGAACGCGGAGAAGAATAAATAAATAAATAAATAAAATATAATATAGAGTTAAGGTTTTAGATGAATGTGTTATACCTCATTACCAGGAATGCCATCCGTACCCTAAAACAAAACAGAACTAGAAGTATTTCATAGAAACCATGTTAGCCGTTAAGGATGGAAAAGACAGTTAATAAATTAATTAACGAATGTTGTTTTTTTTTTCAATTTTACTGTGCAACATACATACAGGCAGGCCAGGATCTCCACGTTCCCCTTTGGTACCAGGTTCCCCTTGACCACCCTAGAAATAGGCGATAAAGCGATAGAAATAGAAAAAAAGCTACCGTGGCTTATTAATTATATTATTATTTTTTAAGTTACACATTTTTATGGTATAATATTTACCTTCATTCCGTCCAATCCGGGAGGTCCCTATAAAAAATAATGATCTTCTTAATTACATTTGGATATTTTGTATTATGTTTTTATAAAATATGTGATGTGTTTGGCTTTTGACAGATACGTTCAAGAAGGTTAGTAAATGGTATAGCGTAACTGTTAGATAGGTACTCACCCATCAGGCACATGCAGCATTCCAAGTCGGCTTTCATTATCAAAACAAAACGAAAATGCAGCGTCCTAATTATTATTTTAAGTATAACGAGAAAAAGTTGAAGGCTTTGCTAACCAGTACTCGCATTCTTGTCAACAAGTACGAATAGCTTAAAGGCCCTCTCCCCTCTCTTCATCAAATATATGATTCTACAAATTTAAAATACTCGTTTGAGTATAAACGTGAAACGAGATTTGATAATTTGACAATTTTTTGCTGAATTAAATCCCAAATTTATTATTACAAACTATTAACTATACTTAGCAGTAACATGTTATATTGCGTACGTTCAGTTAGCATTTTTTTTTAATTTGAAATTGCAATTGAGGCCACCCGCGAAAGGTGTACACTTTAAAAATGTATTTTTATTTCTTAATATTAAAATGTATTATTCAATGAATACGACTTAAAACTAAATATGCACTCTCAATTGAAATCAATGGAACCTTTTAGAAAGTTAAATGATCAAACAATTAAACATTCACCAATGATTCAAAGCGTTTTGTAGTGTATGGACAAAAATAGAGCGACAAGTTTCAAAGTAATTATAAGTGCTTAAAAATGAATTTTCGCTAAGTAAATTTAAACGCTACATTCATGTGAAAAAAGCATATTTCAGTAAAAATAGTAATATTAACAAAAGAAATAGATGTCTCTACGAATGTATCAAAAAAACACGAATAAACAGGAGGGGAAAAGAGTTAAGTGAAAATATTTACATAATTTGATATATTATACATTTAGGAAAAGCTACGACCCGGCTATTGATTGCTCAACACAGTCAAAATCTTTTTTTTAATTGTTTTTATCATATTTTATATGTGTTAAAAATGTTTAAAATTGTTACAGTAAATAAGTAAAATACATGATTAGTTATACAAATTAATTTTTCTGTAATATATTATAAGTATTACAATTATTTGTATTTTAATGACTGTACTTTTTTTCATGGCTATCCACTACTTATCTATCAAATGGACTTGTTTAATAAACATAATTTTATTAATTCGAAAATGTATTAAATCAATTAAATTTGTTCGTTTAATTCACCTGTTTTGATTATAGATTATAGTGCTATTACTATATTATTCAATAATCATCCCAACCTGGCGAGTTGCTACATTGCTAAATTCTAGTTCAAATATTACATTATTAGTTTTCTTCCCAAAAACTTTTTTTTATGTATGGTTTTTATTTATTTTTATAACTTTTAAGATACTTGTTCTATTTTGCCCAAACACTATAACGAATTTGTTAGGTCAGATAAAGGTATACTCAATGCGTGCAATATATTTTTTAATTTCAGTGTACATAACATGATAATATTATTGCACTTAATAACAATAATAAATAATCATACACCTACTAGTTACTGCCATATAGTGTGCGGTCATTCGATTCAAACGGTAGACAAAATGCACTAACTAGTGTTTGCTTAATATTAAATTTATTATTATTTAAAAATTAACATAATACAATGTATTCATTTAACATACATATACGCATTATACATTACGTTATATTGTATATAAATAGTTAATAGTATCGCTATACATATTTAAAATACAAAAAAATTAGATATTTTATCGTCCACGCAAAAAAAAAAACGTACAATTAAAGGTCTACACAATATAAATTTAATAATGTTTTGAACGATATTATATGCATAATATAATGTACTGTTTTAATGGCTTATTCGGAGCGCAGGTATACATGAATAATACTTTGATATAATATAAATAACTTTTACAGCATAATAATCATCTCCATAAAAAAAAATCGCTTAATATCTATTAATATAAATACTATATAATTTTATTAAAATAATATACTATGTACAAAATACTGAACGCACGACATGACTCGTGTGTAACATAAAAAACTACGTTAAATACAATAAAAAAGTATTGAGTGTAACATAGTTCTATTACATAGGTAAATAGTTATAGCCAGGTAGGTACGTGTTTTGTATATTTTTGTTAGTTAAAATATTGTGTTATCCGACACCGAAAAAATAACACTTTCAAAAAGCATTTCGGTAGAAACATAAATAGCTACAAAATGTAAACTACTACAATATAACATAATTTAACGGTCGAGAAACCATACGAGGATCCAACTCCTGTTTGTGTATATAAATTATAATAATAATAATAATAATAATATAATAATTTTGTTTGTGAAAACTCTCGCCAGCGTCTACCCCGGGTCTTATAATAGGAAAACTTTGCATGGATGAAAAATGGATTTCCATGAGTTTGGAAGTCGCCTAAACTGATACGGTGAGCTCGGTGGAGACATATTATTATTAAAGGCGAGTGACAGAAGCCGCCAATCATAAAAATAAATGATAATATATAATAAATAAAAAAATCAATATTATCCGCCAGTTTATCAGATCAAGCGAGATATATGAGCATGTACTACGAGAGACCAGCAATTTTTAATTAAAATTTCACCTTGTTTAATTAGTAGACAGTTTTATCCGCGAAATAAGTTTTAAAAAACGTATTAAACAAATTAATTTAGGGCCGACTAGAGTCTATTACGATATAGATGCTTTAGAGGCAGATTTTTCCTAACAGAGAACAGATATTTTTTTTTAAACAGTGTAACAATCTACAAAAATATGTTAAAAGTAAAAAAAAAAAATGTTATTACTAACAGTTTGTGCTAGGATTGGCGATGGTGCAGCGAATTTCCCGTCAGTTAAACCGTAGTGTCTACTTCAAATTTAGTTTATAAATGTTGCTATTAAATTTCAGGAAAAATTATTATTATACATTTAATTGACCATGTTTGTAAATTATTACAATGAAAAACTTGACTCTATGAGAAAGACTCGCTGTTTGTGTATTACTTTTTTTTTTTACTGACAAATTAAATACTCTAAGGCATACGTTGTGTATGTTATACTGGAAACTCGATGGCAACATTTTGACATTTTAACAGGAAGGTAAATACGGGACATGTTTAGTTTTGGTATTGTAAAATTATTGGATTTTAAATGTTAAGCGGTAGTGCCTGTAAAATATATTAATATTAAAAAAAATACCTCAAATCATTTTTTTTTTTGCCCAGGATGAAAACGAATTTCACAAACTATCATTACTATTATTATTATTATTATTACCTAATAGTACTAATACTCGTACGTCGCGTTTCCTATAAGTTATAGCCTGTATAAATTAATATACCTTTATAATAAAATAATATTTGACAAATAATATTGTACAGCGTTAATTGTGTTATCCGTCGCTCGTAACGAAATAATTGTATAAATAAATATATACGTTAAAAATAAGGTAGGTAAAATAAAATGTCAATAACGCCGTCTAAAATTTAAAAATGTTTTTTATAAAGTAATAAAACAAATTAAAATAAATACATGGTATCGTGATTACGGATCTAATAAGACTACTATTTTATTATGTTAGTCACTTAATATTATTTCACAAACTAACTGGAGAACTGATCACCGCAAAATAGGTATTAATTTAAAAAAAAATAAAACATAAATGTTAAAAAAAAATAGCGTCAGACAAATAAATACAGAGAGAAAACACGTCTAGTTAGTTAAAAACTATATTGTAGCATAATATTATATATTATTATTATTATTATGGTACAGCAATGAAGATTTGTTTTGTTTTTAACATTTTTTTAGGGTTGTTTATAATGGATAGGGGTTAGTGTTCGCATCAAAGAAGTATAACTGCCTTAAACCTGTTGAAAAAGCATTTGTTTAGACATAGTAATATTATTTTAGGGGCGGCACGGGTTAATCATAAAGGATTAAAAGTGTATACACGTCACATAATATGATATCATAATATTATTATGTCAACTAAAACAAAAAGAAACGGCTTGGTTTGGTTTTCAGTTAAACGTGTACGGGTTATTCCTTACCATGGGACCGGGTTTGCCCGGAATCGATTCTGATCTTGGTCCCATTGGCCCCTAATTGACAAATTAAAAAATAAGAATTACACAATGACCAACGCCAAAGATCAGCAGTTTTTTGTACATACCGGTAGCCCCATTGGTCCGGGATCGCCTTTAGTGCCTTTTTCGCCCTAAACAGAATATGCGAGTGAATACATTGTTAAATAAGTTCTATCATTTTAAAAATTCGCACAGGAAAAATGTATAGCATGAAATCTACACAAATGTGTTATGTGTTTACTGTATTATTATATAGTAGTATTACCATTATTAATATATTATAATATAATTTGTAAATTATAAGTTAACCGACCCTTTTTGCTCCCAGACGCGACGGAAAGAAATTAAACGGTTTGGCCGGAACTATCTCGTTTAAAATACATAATTTTGATAATAAATTAAGTGGTCCCAAAACGGTTCGGTTGTGTTAATTATTATCCTGTGACAGTGTGACTATATTGTAACTAGCACCGTTGATAAAGATAAAGCCAACACGTAAAATAAAAGAAAGTATGTATAATGTAAAACTAACGTATAATTACTAAATTCCCATACTATAATAATAATGATCATAACAGTTTGCTGAGATCAAGTTTTACGAGATAGAAAATTCTAATGAAATTATTGAACAAACATTACTCTCTTAAATAATTAACATACTTATTCCCAACTTTATATACTGTATTTTCTAGGGTATTATAATATTCAGGAATTCAATAGTTTACAGCAACTGGGTATAAGCCAAATTTACGTTTTTTTTTTAAAACATACTATAAAGAAAGAAATTTGAACTATAATATATTTCGTAAATATAACTTAATGAATCCATCATCCTTTTGGCTAGCCAAAAGAAAATATCTATGCAGTTTAGACTTTTGACCTCACTAATTTAATACTTAGTTTACAAAGTGACAGCACAGTTTACACCTTAACTAATTGTAAAAAAGGGAATGTACTTTTTACAATTTCGATTTGTTGTTTGTTAGAAAACCAAATAGAAATGATGATAATTATTTGTTATCACTCATTCTGGACAAAACGGGAAATAATATTTTCAATTACATTACATTACAGCTGATGACTGGTGAAGTGCAAACATAGCCTGACAGCTAAATGAGCTTAATACACACAATAAAAAAAATACATTTTAACAAATGGAATTGCTAGAACGTATATAGGCACAGTAAACAAATAATGTTCGTGCTTATGACGGACTAATTGAATAACCCGAAAAAAAAGTTATTATAATTTTCTAATTGAATTGTTGCGAAGACCAATAATAGAAAATGGTTCTTCATCATCTTGTCACAGTCATTCAATTAGACAATGAAGATAAAAATAAATTAAAAAGCGTACGCGACCGAAGACTATAAAAAAAAAGTCTTGTGTAAACACCGCGAAATTAAATGTCAATAGTTTGCCGTATTTTCTACAGGTTGTGTAAGAATAAAATCTCATTACTTTAAAGTCAAATCCCAACGAATTGGTTTAATTTACATTTTAATACGCTTTTGTTAAAAAAAACCGTAAATACTCAACGCCGACTTTGTTAATTTAGATTATTTTTTATAAACAGTAACGTTTTGTGATAAAATCTTATTTTATTAAAAAATGATTAATTTCTCAATTCTCGCTTGAATGAGTTACAGTGCGATGTCGGATCATTTATTCAAATGTACTTACAAATATTGTAAATTGTAAAACCTAATACTATTTAGTTAATTTATAAATTTAATAGACTATATATCCTACAAAGTTTTATACATTCCTATATTATATCTTTAAACGAAGCTGCGAAGTTATTTTTATTAAGTTATAACTACATTTTAAAATTGTAGGTTGACATCTTGAAATATGTTATTTTATTTGTCAAGAACTTAAAAATATAATTTCAAGGATTATAAGCAAAAGGCCAATACTCACGGTTTCGCCTTTATCTCCGTCTCGGCCTCGTTCGCCCTTGATGCCCGGCGGACCTAATCAAACAAAATCAATGTTATTTTAATAAAAGTTTTTTGATTTTTTCGCTATGCTTAGGACCCAAACCTTGAAGCCCTGACGGTCCCGGAGGTCCAGGAGGTCCCACCATCTGAAAATTATTTTTAAAAAATGACATTATAAGTAGGGTTTAATAGTCATAGTCATGTAATCCTATATACCAGTTCATCTTGGCCTACGATTGACATGATAAAATCGATAATATTTCTAATAAAAACTTTTAATACCATTATATTATAATTTGAAATTTCTCGAAAAAAACCTTTTTTTATTTCGATATTAGATTTGTAAGACAAGTACGTCAGTGATCAGTTGTCAGCTGAAGGTTGAGATGAACTGTCGGATTATACAAATATTAAATATAGTGCATTTCTTTTCTTTAATATACACTTACCGGTTCGTTTGCTGGTTCAAAAGCGCCGTCCCCTTGGAACTGTAAAAAAATAGGGTCATTCATACATGTAATAATGATTACAATATTATGTTCGCAGATCAGTTAACAGAGGAGAGGTCTCGTTGGCGGTAGGTCTGACAATAAGTAATATTTTGTTGAACAATAACCCTCCTAAATCAAGGCAAGTTATTATGATATTGTATACTGATGTATTGGGGTTTAGCTAACTTTTCGGGCTAATCACAGAAACCATCTTCTGCAATCAATCGAAAACGTCTGCGTTGAACAAACAGTGGCGTAACTTCTATGAGATGTGAACAGTTGTTACAAAAGTATACACATTTAATTTTTAAGGCGCATCTGTACGGTATACTCACGGTCTTATAGTCTTACTTATAGTCTCTATACGTCTTACAGTTATATATTTAAAGAAAATGTTCTGACGCTTACGGCTTAATACACTTTTATAGCTCAATTAAATTTTACAAAACATAAAAACGAGTAAGAAAAAATTATTTTTTACAAACGATTATCGTTTTGTTTCATTCAATTCAGTACAATTATCTGGGTATAGGCGCATTTCGAGGAGGCCAAAGGAAGATGTTTTGTGTGTTTAGAGCACAATCCGATCCAAAATTTAACGTCTGTTACATAATAAGTGTCAACTGTTAATGCATTTCTACGTTTTGCTAACCAATATTCTGTCTCTGTGTCTCATTAGTCATAACCCATATAGGTATTAGCAATGAAATAAGAATAAACATGACGATATAAATTATTAAGAACCCTTGTCCGGATGATCTCAGCAATGACGGGCCTCATCTAGGTTAACACCGTTATATTGATGTAAAACATGTATTGTACACTGCAATAATAATAAAAACAAAAAAAATGCATGGTTTAGGGGTCCTATAGGTTAATACTATGGTGAGCTTTTAAACGTTCGCGACAACAAAAAAGAGGATGTACGTCTCAACGAGTCTACGAACCAAATTGCTGCCGGGAGTGGCAAGTATCATAAACTCGAGTACCGTATAAAGTCGAGTATCATAAATATCATTTGTCATAAAGACCATGTGCGTTTTACAAAAGGTCAAGTGTAAGCCACGACGCAATTTTGCAATGTACCATTATAATATAACCGTGCTAACCGAGATGTTTGTATATAACATTATATATATATTTTTTCTTTGTCTTTTAAATTAAACGTTTGTACGAGGACTATAGTATGTATATAACAATGATGACAATAATTAAATTGTATTTAAAATTTGTTTTATGATGAAGCGAGAAATGTTAACATGAATAAAATTCCTAGTTTCAGGGTGTGATCAAATAGTTCCTTGGCTTAGAAACTTTACCAGTTAATCACAAATTCAGCAAAAATCATGAACTAACTCAAAATATTGCAATTCAAGAATTGTAATTTTTTACTCATATAATCCAGTTAATTATTTTCGTACAGTAAGTAAGTTACACGGAAAAAATGTGTTGCCAATTGACAGTTTGGCTACACCAGCGACAACCAGATTTTGTAATTTTACCTTCCAAATAACGTTTCTGGCAAATAAACATATAGTTAAGGTAACTATAATTGTGGTGGACTGATTAATGATTATATTAAAAGAACCAGTTAATACAACTGTATTAACTGTATTGTTTTCCGTGTATTTTTATTTAAACATTTTCGGGTGAGCCAAATTCAATGGACCGAGTGCTTTTCTAACATTGAGATCACTTTTGGTATTTGACCGAAATTAAATAATCGTAATAATTTTTAATGTCTAATCGTTTGAATCTTTACCGCAGAATATACTATACTACTTTACCGAAGTACACAGTTTTGAATTACTTGTTTGCCATGTGGCGGAATTCGGCGCAATAAATTCATGCAAGGAAGCAAAATAATGTTTACTGCGGAATACTCCGTTTTTTTTTTGGATTCGCTTATTATGTTTTCGCGTCACGCGTGTACTTTGGTAAGGCCTTAATGCATACACGCGCTATAGGAAAACGTTTGCCAAAAACGCCATCAACGTTTGCGAAGAAACGTCTGAAACGACTTACGGGTAAAAAAAAGTCACGTTTTCCTGTAGTTATGAGTAAAGTTTTGTCGGGGTTAAAGAAAAAACAAATACCCAAACATGTACAAAGGCATATCGATAAAAGCATAATGGCCGAAAACGGATACCGGTGTTTTAGTAACAATAAAAAAAACAGCTAATGTGGACCATCAGCTCCTTGATACCTCTCCTCGTTCTCACATCGCTCACGCTTAATATTGTTATGTTACTCACTTGACGTCTCCTGATCTTCTTGTTGTTATATTTCTGAAAAACAAAAATAACGTCATTAGTATGCGGCGCAGAAGGTTAATCATGAAACCCTACGAGTTCCGGCCGACGACATAATATTATCAAGTAAAGTAGCTGTGTGTGTGTGTGTGTGCACGTTTTATACGGCTAATGCGGACGATTACTCTTCTTCCTTGTATACTTTTCTCCCTCTGAGTGTTTTATCGTCGGCCTAGCGCGATTAAAAACATACAATTTATCATTCGTCGTAGTCTTGGTCGCCGCCGCCGCCGCGCCGTCGTCCAACCGAAGGAATGCACACACACACGCGTGACACAAGCCAGATGATTTATACGGAAAAAATATAAATCGAGCGAAGACTTTAAGATTCTTCTTTTTGGGTTTTTTAAATTTTTTATTCAACTTTCTCTGACCACGCGTGATGCACGGAAAGAAAAACATTAGAAACGACCGATAATAACGTTTTATTTTTATGCATGCACATGTTGCATATAGATAGGTGATGGAGAAAATACACAATAAATTTATAGTTGGCCGAACTAATTATTTAGTAATTCACTTATTCCTACTATACATTTATTTTGTCCCTATATTAACCATAATTTTACTAAATCCAACTATATTATGGGTACTGTTACTATTATTTCGCATTGTAACATTAACCTATTTTTTTTTTAAATGCAACTTTTCGACAATAGTAAAGCAATAAGTAGGCTTAGAACAAATGTTTATCAATGTTAAAGGAATTCTCTCAAAAACAGAAAACTCCAGAAGTTTTGTTTTAGAACTTTAAAAAGAGTTGTATTAATATTATTTTAATATAATATCTATTGCAAAAATGTTTGCGTTCGACTTTATTTTAAAAAAGTGTTGGTAATTATAAGTGTTTTAAAAAACATTACCATGTGTTCTACGAGTTTATATTAAACTCCAGCCACTCGGGCTGCTATAACTTGTAATTTTGGGTATAATCCCTGTCTTTGATGTTTTACACTCAGATATAGCAACTAGTCCAGTTTTAACTATAATAATATATAGTTCTTAATCGACTAACAATCTAGTTAAGAGTTGCTGTGCTAATTATAGTTCTAGCGTGGGTTATGTCTACTGGCTATAGTGTTGTTCCTAAGAATCAGGAGATACTGGCCTAATACATTTGACCAACTCAGTCTGTCCCAAGTCCAAGTGTTTTTGTGTGTTACATAGTTCGTTATTGCTCTCAAACTAAAAAACCATTAGGTACACGATCTTAAAAATTAAAATTAAATAAATGTTCAGGTTTCAGATACAAAACCTGTTTATTTTATTGTAATTTAATATTAAATTGTATTTTTTAGGTTAGGCGCACAGCCGAGATCATGCTTGGTTTAAAAATTAAATTAGCTACTGCATCAAAGATAACATAAATAAAGTAAACATTTAAACATATAAAGTTCCTATTAAAAAACAAAGAATAATTTTGAAACTACAAGTAGTTTTCTATTACATATAATAAATTGAGTATTTAGTTAGGCCTTTTAAATGACGATTGGTTAAATATTTATTGATGTACAATATTGTTGTATGGATACTATCAAAACACTTACTAAGTACGAAAGTACACTACTTTTGAATATTTGGTTTATAGCTAGTTTTGAAACTAGACTAAATAGTAAATTTACAAGTAAAACGAACATATTTACCCCATTTATGTTAAATAAACGTTCATTATTAATATACATTTATTACGGTGACGTGATTTAAAACGGTTAGGTTAGCATATTATTTTATTTTATTATATTTTTTAAGCGGTACATGACTTAATTTTACTCACCGACTCTCCTTTATCGCCTTTGTCACCTTTCTGTCCTGGATAACCCTGTATAAAAAATGAAATTAATCAAAAAATAAAGATATAAAAGCAAATTAATGCGTTTGTAATTCCGTCAATCAGTCGAGACGTTTGAAAGTACATGGCGAAATTCACAAGATCACTGCCTTCTGTTATACTTTCGTTTATAGAATAAGTGCGTTCGCGTTATACTTACAGGAGGTCCTGGCAAGCCTGGAGGTCCCATTAAACCGGGAGGACCAATATCTCCGTAATCGCCCTTTTCACCTTTAGGACCAGCCGTGCCCTGAAAAGAAAAAAAAACAATAAAGGTACAACAAATTGTCGACGGCGTCGAATGAGACTTGCAACAAACGGTTTAAGTATTAACATCAAGAAAGAAAAAAATCTGAGCAATAAACTGTTACATACAATATATATATATATATATATATACTTGTATAGGTGGTACATTGAAACATTTTATCCGAAATTGTTTTTGTTTCAGTCGCATTACGGCGAAATAAATAACCGAATCTACTTGCAAATAAATGCAGTGGAATAAAGTGGATGCTATTATACAAAACTCAAACGAATACCAAGTGTTCTTCAAATGTTAGCCTTGCATATTGTGTACACAAGACAAACGCGTTTATTCCACTTTGGCTGCACAGCTTTAAGCGTTTTTTTTAAATTAACCTTTGAAATGACCGACAGAAAGTAAATACATGAAAGTTAACTAGGTTATTTGACTTATTTAATATCTTCTATAAGCTTTGCTGATTGAAAACGAGATTCGTTTGAAACAGCAAACATCGAGAAAACCTTTGCGCGGGTATTTATTTGACTACATCCATCTTTTTTTTTAGATTAAGTTCCACAATATATATATATATATATAGAGAGAGAGAGTGTGTATATATACTATATATATATATATATATATAGATATATATACTATATATATATATATATATATATATAGAGAGAGAGTGTGTATATATACACTATATATATATATATATATAGAGGATTGAATTTCGAAATCAAACAAACACAAGGCGATCCACGATGAAATATTTTGTTAACCTTTCGAGCCAAAATTGATTACCGAGCGATATGATTTGTTTACTTACCGGCAAGCCAGGAGGTCCTTGGGGTCCTGGTAAGCCTGGTTCTGAAATCCCATCCGTGCCATTGCGACCTGGTAATCCTGGAGAATAGTTGCAATACAAAAACACATTTCACATAGAATTTACGATGAAACGTTAAACAACAATAGAGTAACGTTGTAGAAGAGTACAATTTTTGTTTTGTTTATCTACATTACGAGACTTATCTAAACTAAACATATCATATATCTAAGACCGTGCATGTATAATATTATATTATATATATTTCTACTACAGGACTACTACTACTTTCTACTGCAGGCTGCTAATTTTTTTATTTGGATGCTATGTTGCAAAACGCATGCATTTAAAAAAGATGCATTTACCGTATAGCTTTACTTATCTAATTTATTTACGTATATTATGCTACTATTATTATGCGGCCTCTTGGAAACACGATGCTCACTTTACTTGCACCAATGCCCTTAACGCGGTCTAACATATCTATTTGTATGATTATAGAAATTACGTTTCATGCTGACACTCTTGCCTCTCACATTGAATCCGGAAAAGCATAAAAATGATTTGGAAGTTTCACTTATCCTAATAGATTTTATAAAATTATTATTTAAAATAAATATGTATTATATATAAACTAAATGGCTTATTTTAAAATGCATAGGTTTTTTTTTGCTAAAGAGAGTATCAAACGTTATAGTAAAATTGACATAATAATAATTAATATGTACGATGTATAATTTAATATTATTACAATGAAAACAGAACGAATGTAAAGGATGGAAAATAATAGCTATGCCTCAAACATATCACATAATATGTCTGAGAAGCCGATTGCGTTAGACAGCGAGCTAATCCCTCCATTGGTAACGCCTATTGCAAAATGTAAATAATGCACTAGGTGTCCCCCCCAGAAACATGCCAATATTATAAATAGGATTCGACACACGTGCATTCGATCGACTATTCGGATTCAATGTAAGTTTAGCTTATGCTGGTGGTGTCAATAATGGTAATATGATAATATTCTGCTTTATATGATATATTCCTTTACCCGTTTGCCTCTCTTTCCTCGACCTTTCTCGCCCGGCGGTCCCGGTGGACCCACTGGACCCACATCGCCTTTATCGCCTCGCAAACCGACCGGACCTTAAAATGCATAGGCAAATAAAATACAATAGGTACAATACATGATTTTATTGGCAGCATTTCTGTCAACATAGTGTCTCGCTAAAACGCATTGTAAAGCAAATTTTCAAAAAATAAAATAACTACTACTATAATACTACCAGTAGCTAAAGTACTACTAGTACAACTTTTAAAGTAAACTAGTTCTATAATGATAATTCTTCCAGAAATAAGTTTATACAACCAAATATATGATATGATAAAAATTGTAACTGCGATAAATAGTTGGTTAAAACTTTACCTAAAAATGGGTCACAATAAAATATAAAGATGTGAAATAAGAATGAAATCAAACAAAGCGTTTTGGGAAAAAATCCGTAACTACTGTATAGTAAGTGAAAATTTATCGATGCTATATTATGGATAACATTATTAAACGGTATCAATAGTATGTATTATAGTTATAATATCACTATTAACACGAGGATATGTTATAATAGTTTATCAATAGTGTTTGTGGTTACCAGGTGGTCCTGGAGGTCCTGGCGGTCCCTCGATTATGCCGGTGGGAAACTGATCGCCCTTCAGCGTCGTTGTCAAGCCTCGGTCACCCTTGTCGCCTTTGATGCCTTTCTCGCCAACAGGGCCCGGTAGACCGGGTGTGCCCTATAAAGTCGATCACCAGTTGTTTGTTATACATACGCATAATGCATTTTTAAAACACTGGCAAATAAAAACACTGAGCCGTCGAGACGACAAAACAGTAGCGCATTATAAGTATAACATTTATGTTTGTTATCAGACAAAACCCAATTAATTTCTATACTCTTCTAGAAAGGTTTGGAATACAGTCGTCAAATAAAACACTCTAGTGCGAATCATAATAATTATTATAACGAAGCGCCACAGCTACGATCATGGCGGCAGCTTATTCCTGGACGCTCGAACTCAACACGTACATATTAAAGTTCAATTGTGAGAACGAAATCGTGGAGTTATGTGAGTCGCGAAGGTTCTTAAAGGATTTCGCCGGAAGTTATCGTCGTTAAACAAAACGTTATAAACGCGATTTTTCGAAATCCGAAACAGAACAACAGTTGCCGACTTAAACGGATTAAAACCTGACAACAGTCGTTGAACCCCGAGGAGGCTCGGGGAGAATTTACAGTTATAATTATCATATTACTTTATTGACGACTGGCCGAGTGTAAACTTTAATGCCGAGGAGATTGCGAAATTCTCTTCGATTAACGTTGGCCTGGCGGTACGCTCCGCTTCTCCGATGAATTTCATTAAGCTCCACTCCCCCATACTCATACGACTTTTCGCTATGTTTTGACCTTAGATAGTATTTCGTAATTTCAGCTGACGCCAACACAAAGTGTGTATAATAATAGACATTGTCGCGGTTTGTATGTTTTTAGAATAAAAAAATTCAAATGGCGATGTTCTACGCCGTCCTTACCTGCAGTCCTTGTTCGCCTCGGTCGCCTTTAGGTCCTACCTGTACAACAACAAAAAAAAATGTGTTTTTTTAATAATGCCAAAACCGCGTTTTATACGTTAAGTAGAAGTTAACGACACGTTAACGAGCCGGTTGTACACAAAAAGATCATAAAAATACATATTTTATGTATTTTACATAAACAACCATCTTATGTCGGCGTTAATAATTTATTTTTTATTAAACAAATTAGTGTCTATAACAAAAGAGGGGATTTTTTTTATGATTTTACAAAATTGCACTTAAACAATAGTCCCTTGTGGAACAAAGTATAGTTACGGGAGGTTTGTGTTTTTTTTTTATAATTATTTGCCCGATGAGCTAGTATGAGATCTTTTAAATGCAAACCTGTATAGCAAGGAACGATGGTATTCTTTTTAAAGAAGTATCAATCTATAAAGGAATTTTTTAAAATAATTATTATTGTTATTATACAGTGCACTATATATCTGACCCTAATAAGTTTCTGTTACCCACCTGTTAAAAATATACACTTATAATAGAGTGGTTATTTTAGCGTTAACTAGCTTATAATAGTCTGGATAAACATTATATAACCGCACAAACAAGGGGAAAAGTATATAGATATAACACGATATTTAATTAACCCTTCACGTGCGTGACAAGCTATTCTACGCCACAACTGAGTAAATATTTTCAAGGCGCAAAGGGTTGTGTATGATTACACGCCTGAGCTGCTCTTTTTTCTTTCTGCAAATAAAACCCAGTACGATTTTCGAAGGGGAAATTACCACAAGAAGAGTACATTTACAACCCTTTAGTCATTTTAAAGACCCTCTAGATATTATTCTCAAACCTACTGTGCAAGCCATAATTCATTTCCTTGGACTAAAATATATGTATAAGACTTGATGTGAAATAAGTGTACCAATAGTGTAATTTTCTTAAATCCGACATTAACCAACCTTGTTATGTATTCCGATAAAGTACGGAGGAAAAGTAATACTTTCCTAAAAAAGGCGAAGAAGGAGATAGCGCAGAGTGGGATAAGGCGATTTTATGATCCCCAGTCGCCTATTTAACTCTTATAGCATTAGATTTATTCGAGCGATTTCCCCTTGCCACTTGGTGTCCAGACTTACTCTATTTGAAGAAAAAATATTTCTCTTTTTACAGTAGGCTTGTTTAGCCTTTGCCATCCTACATACCGACGCCCCGTGTACGAAAAGTAGCACCGTTCGTGAGTTCTGACGATGACTAGCACCATTCACAGAGTCTTACGAAAAGTAGCACCGTTCAAGTTCTTACGAAGACTAGCACTGTTCGTGCTATTGTTCCCATTGTTGCCAACAGTGCTAGTTTTTGTAAGAAATTCGCGAACGGTACTAGTTTTTGTAAGAAGCCTCAAAGGGTGTTAGTTTTCGCTGGAATTTGAACGGTGCTACTTTTCGTACTTTTCGATACTGTGTCTATATGCCTTTTCCCATCTTTTGTGATTTTACTCCTCAGTGAAACTAGTAGGTAAAATTTAGAGCTATTGCTAATTTAACAAACCCAACTAATATTGGGAAATAATTTTTATAATTAATGTTATGGAAAAATATGTTGTAGCCAAATCGCGTAAATATTAATATTAATCTTTCTATTATTAAAAAAACTTAATTATACATAAGTTAGGTAGACATGTGTCACAGTAAATGGATTGTACTAAACACTTCTTATTTCAAAGGTAACAAAACGCTATTCAGTATTCATATTACAAACGATGAAATTCGATACAGTACTTACCAAACCTGGAGCTCCGGGTGGTCCTTGTTTACCTTCTACCTGTAATTAAGAAAATCAAATTATTAATTAATTTTGTTTCAACTTTTAGAAATAATTCAACCGACGGTATCAAGTTTTCAATAGTAGTGCCCTTTATAAATGCGTACCAAAGTGAACATATTTATTCGGATTATACGTACAGCCTAAATAATTTTAAAAATATCACTGATAATTTGTAAAAGCTCTAGTTTAATTAAAAGTATACTATATATTATATAAATTTAACACTTTATTCGAATATAATAGACAGTTTATTATTGGCAAATTATTATTATTCTTTAACGTTTTGGTAGATAATAAGTAATTATAAAGAATTTAAAATTAAATTAATTATAACGACGAAAACAATATTTGATTAAAATAGGAGCTATAATTAAAAATGAAATAATAAAAATCACTAAATCTCATTGTTTACACAAATATGTTCTAGACATAAAAACTATATTATGCAAAAAATAATATTATACGATAATTCTTGTTTAGCCGAAACAAGAATTATTGATTTAATTATTATTAAATTTGTTTCACTTTGGCAGGTGACATACTGACATTCTAGTTTCAAAAATTACAAATTACCATAATTTATTGACATAAAATAAATTTTGTTATATACATCCAAACGCTTGGCATAATTGATAATTTAAAATATTATGTTAGACTATTATTATCTTTATAAGCATGCTTTTTATTTATCAAACTCTTTAATTTGTACCATCGATATTCATCCATTTTTGCCACAGAGAGGCATCATTAGTTGGTCACACCAAACGTTCTTGCCAAGTTGCTGCTAAAAATAAACCACTTACAACGGCTAAAACTATGGAAAGTTGTTTCACGGGCTAATATTTTTATTAATAATTAACTATTCAAAGGGTGGCTAACAAAATGAATGGTAATTGTTTGCTATAGTAACCATATGGTTTTGCGAAACCACCTGCACGACCCATAGAAACCACTAAACCCCATCTCCCCCCTAACTGATACTGATATATCAGCGTTAAATTATATTTATTATCATTTAAATTTCGTCTTATTGTACCGACTCCACCGTGGAGCACATTGAGCTACAATGCACAGTTTTTATACACATTACATATGTATTGCAACTTACCCCCATTGCGCCCTCGGGTCCTCGTGCACCGACCGGTCCTGGCGGTCCCGGTTCTCCTGGTTCACCCTGTAAACAAGTCGTCCGGTTAGTTTGAAATCATAACAATAACAATATTATAAACATGCAACGTTACGCATAATATAAAATAATATATTTATTTTATGTTCTGCGAGCGGGCGCTAGTACAATCGACCCTGATTGGACGCGTTCAACGATAAACCTCATTTTTAATTAATACACATAAGCACATAATTAATTTAACCGGAATGGTTAAAATAAACAACAATATTTGCTCGACACTGTGTTGTTTTATGAAGACTTTTTAGTATGCTCATCGCCATAATTATTTTTTTTTAACCGTCAAACCCAACAAATACAAAATATTATATTTTAAATTCCCACTCAAACATCAGTGCAAATAGTACGTTTTCCGAACGAAATGAAGTTTCTTTTTTTTGTTAAATAATCACGGACTAGATACTATCTCGTAAAGTTAGTACAATATAGTTGATCTAGTCGAGCGAATATTGTAATAATGTGTAAAGCGAAAGAAAACCTATTGTCACAGCAAACGAAATAAATAAATACAACGAGCGGCTGATATGTTATTAAATAGAATCTGGCATGCAAGAATGTACTCACTTTGACCATGACTATGCTTTCGGCCGATACGTTATGTCCACGTTCTTGTAGTCCCTATAACCAACCAGCCACCGACTACCGTAAATAATAAAAAAGAAAAACAAAGCATTTCATGCAAAAATAAAAATAATAGTTCAAAGTATCATAGTAGGTAGAGAATTGGACCCGTGGAGGAAACTTGTGAGAAAGATCAAGTATATGTCGTTAAAAGTCTCGGGTATAACAATAATTATAGTCATAATCGTAACGGTACGAATTATAATATTAATATCATAACGCGTTTGCCGTTTCAACTGTAAAGTTTACACCGTTAACGCGTTAACGTTGCGGCGGGTATTAACAGTGTTAAATTTAATTTTGAAAAGTACAGAAAAGTAATTTAATAACGAAACTTTAACGCGTTCCGTTTGGATCGTAAGCTCTTTTAATAGACACTTGCTGGTCGTCTGTGCTCTCCAGACGTTTTACTGCACCGGTTCCCTGAGTTATGTTATTCCAGTCCGGAGAGTCGTTGTGGTATTTTAATATTGTACTATTGTTATTACTTTTGCTCGAAAATACTAGTAATAATGCATGCGTTTCCTACGTTGTATGCCATTTAAACGTAAAACAAACGTTTACGGAGACCGTGGGATATTATGCATACTGCAAAATAATATACCCATGTCGGGCGCGTGGTCAACAGATACGGTTTTTCGATTCCGCGTAGATCGGTAAAAGTGAAGTCATGCAAAAATAAAATATTTAAAAACGTGTCTACCGTTGTATTCGCATACAATTGAAAAATAAAACCCTATACGGCAAAACCGACCAATGTAACACTCGGAGACATAAATAATAATACGTAGAATTTTACTCGATAACCTTTTTTTTTCGATCCAATGGTTTTCTTGTATAAGAAAAACAAAAAAAACCAACCGTAATACCCTCTAAACAACGTTTAAAAGAGAGAAATCGCCGGACTCTCACCCAAATACACACGCGCCCTCTCACAAAAGAACTACTATAATGCACACTACTATGCGGTTAGCTACTACAAAAAAAAAAAAAACAAGAATAAAGTAAAGAAATAGATTTACGCCAAAAGAAAGAAAAACAGTAAATAAAACATAATGAAGTACATATTATTATCTACAAGAAACACCAGCGAAACTATGTATATGTATTATATAGTATTGTTGTTATATAAGAATAATAACCAAAAATATTTTAAAAAAACACCCAAGAGCTTTAATATTTTGTTCACCTTAACGGCTACGATTTCTGCGTATCCGAGAGTACCTCCTCTCAGTGTGGTCACAGATCGTTTACTGCTGCTTCCCTGTAATTTAATCGGTACAATATTTGGTGTAATAGTACAAAATAATATACTAAGTCAAAATATTATGAAAGGTATCCGACGACATATTATGAGTAGGTACCTAGTAAAAAGGTCGATAGTACATAAAATAAAATAAAAACAAGTTTAGAGCATCCTTTCGCGCATAAGTAAATAATAATTTTTTAAAAACAAATCTTGTCCGCTTTCGTCCAGTATTGATTTTCGTTAAAACCTTTTTAAGGCCACTGTAGACTAAATATTTCAATAATAATAACATGTACATCGATACTATTGAGACATTTTCTTCTGTCAGTAAAAAATATTCATAAACAGGCGGGTTTCAGTTTTTCTTTTTTTAACATGTTTTATAGTCGTTTATAGCGTAAAATGTAAATACACAAATGTATACTTTATCGGGTTGGAGACAAATACAAAAAAAAACTTGTAGAGGAAATAAGAGAAACAGAGGAAGATATAATTAAAAAAAGACTAAGTATATGTTATGATCTGTCGTTACCTTGACCGCGGCGTATATGTCAAAGTTCGGCGCTCCGGAATCGCCTTTCTGTCCCTTTTCGCCAGAATGACCCTATAGAAAAATTAAAATAGTATATTTATTATTTAAATTACATTAATAGACACAGTTGTATATACATAAACAAACATATAATCAAATGCCACAGTTTGACTTGAATGAGTATGAACTAATTTATTATGTTTGGCATTATAAATGCGGGTTAAAAATCCCAGGATTCTAATGACACTTATTATGAACACGTTAATCTACCAAAGTTTTGGAAGTCTTATACTGCATATTTTACACGTAGGGTTGGAATTGTTGTTCGTTTAACTTCTGTTTGTGTATACTCGAACAACTCTCAATATGATATATTTAAAAATTCCGAAACATTAGTAGACAGGTAGATGAAACAACATATACACAATTTGATAATAATGACTGCAGGTAAATTGAGTCCACGATTAATTTTTAAATAAATATTTCTTTTTTGTGTTTCAATAGGAAAGTATTAACTTATTAAGTAAAATTTTTATAAAACAAAAATGTTTCTCCAAAACTCTAAATTATACTAAAATGGCAGTGATGGTTCCATATTTATATGAACGGCTATCACTTTCAAATTATGCATAGTTAACAATTTCAAACCCATTTGCCAAAAGTGACCCTTGTTGCTTACAGTAAGTCGCACAGTATATATATATATATATATATATATATATATATATATATTTACATACAATATACATAATTTAAAGTACACACTGAAGATTATTCGTACACGATTACATAAATTATTTATACACTCGTTTTATATCCCTTTGGCTGATTTTTCGAATAATATACAAACAAAATTGCACTCGCTTTAAAAGTAAAAGATGCTACAAATTGTTCGATCCTGGTCGATAAGTAAAGTAGATTTTTCAGTTTTCGTTCAAAAATATATAGAAACACGTGATCATGTTTTGTTGGCAATTTTACGACCGTATGGACCTTTTCGACCCTCGACTAACGTAACATTGATGTCCGGTGGATGGTAATCGACCAAAATATTTATTCCCCCATAAAAATCCGTACAGCTTGTATACCGTACAATATTGCTTGTGGTCCGGGGTCAACTGTGAAAACTATGTTTTGACTTGTTATTTTACAGTTTTACGGCTGAGTCGACGCAAGCCGGTTGACACTTAAACATCAACGATAGATCACATCTGCAGTATGGCCTGGATTTAACTACCAAAACATAGTGTACACGGCGGTGGTATTGACGACCATGTGATATTAACGGTTTCTTCTCATGTAGGTACCTATATGATTCAAGTTTCTGTTTTGTAATATCCAAACGTTTGCTTTGCATGTTAATTTAGTATTATTATTGGGTTATATTATTATAGTGAGAGCGGTATCCGATGACAAAACTGGTTTTTTTTAAAGTCCCAAAAAGGAGTCGCTACTCCAACCCACACCGGGCCCGTTTACCGAATATAATCGGTAATTAAATTCTATATCGCACGATAAGTTATGTATTACATTGTGTGTAATATTAGGTGTATAGAAAATCTATAATATATATGCCCACGGAGGTTTGTAATTAAGATATCTCTACAGCGTTTTCGGTGATTTAAAACGGAGTAATAAATTTTCAAAAACACTTTAATTATACACAACCTTTTTGGTTTTCGCCGGACAGCACCCAATTAAATCCATTCTTTTTGGGTTTGTGTCTATATTATTGTGTTTACATCGACTTGATAACCGAACGACGATCGTGTGTAGGTATACATATATTATTATAATTTATAAGGTACCTATCATCGCAAGCACGAGGTTTAAGTATTGAGCCATTTTTATTTGTTAGCGCTTGGCAAGTGCCAACGATTAGTAACGATTCGTCTCGCGACTCGGATACGGATGGCCGTAAAAAGACTTACAATAATAATGTCGTCAAATTTAATAATTTTTATTATTATTGCGGTATGCTACGAACGAGGTCTCGACTTTAAAATCTGAGACGTCAAGACGTTAAAAACGTTTTTTTCCTTTTTGCGTACTTAACACAAAGAAACGTACGTCAAACACGGACTAATGATCTCATATATATATTTTTATAATATTTCAGCGTTTCACTGTCTTTTATTTGTAGTGGGACGCTTAGGACATAATAGGTATATCTTTTCACTAATAATTTTTTTTTTATATTTCTTAATCTAATAGCCTATATATCTATTAGTGATAAAATTATATACAACCGATTAGTCAAGTTATGTTTTTATGTCGTTTTTCTTACATCGTATTAAAACAGTTTTGATTTCTTTTGTTTTTGTATACTTTTTTGCAACTCTATAAAATATCTAAACATTATACATTTAGTTTTATTATATCATCATTATCATCAGCTTTACAGGCCTTTAATGACCAACACTGCCATCATGATATGATAGTTTTGTTATGTATCGAAAGTAAATATTAACTCATAATTGAATGTTCTAATTAGAAGCTAAAACATAACAATTTTAATGGAAAATAAAAATACTCATAACATAACACAAATTATAGCTCAATTCACTCATATATAAATAGACATCAATTAGAAAAGGCAACCTATTAAACATAGTATTAAATTATATTGTTTATTTAGGTCAGTATACGTATCACATTATTAGTTAAAAATTAAAACTTATAAAAGATTGTTAATTTAGAATTGGTCCAGTTATACGCAGTGTCAATAGTTCCAATATCATTAAGGAGACACGGAGAAACTACGCCCCCTCACTATGGTAGAAAATAATAACGTAAGCCTAAGTACGATGTTGACATAATAAAGATCTTTAGTGTACTAACTGTAATTCAACTAATACCCTCCCCGCGTTAAAAATTATTTTTAGATAATTTAGGAAAGAACAATGTTTACTATATTTCTATTATTATACACACAAGGAAACTATTCTGCCCGTGTAAGTTACAACGCTCGCTGGCTGTGGTTTTAACAGCTTTGAAGATGTTTGTAGTATTTTAATGCCGTGATTTTACAATAATATTAGTAGTGGATGGACGTCCTAGGAGACAGAGAAAAAACAATAACAATATTGTGTTTCAACGTCAAAACCGAGGGATCTCATTTTAATATGGCCCGACTCTAATGCAATAGATCCAAAAAAATCATTACGATGGTGAGATTTTAACACCTATTGACGGCTGGCCGCCTGTAGTTTACCATTTGGAAATAAAACTTAAAAGTCTAGTCACGAATTAAAATCAGCGATTCATTGACAAATGCATCACGTCAAATATAGACTGTAACACGCTTAAGTTATAAGGTTTAATAAAGACTACACGGTAAATGGTATCCATACATAAAAAAAATCACTTTCATTTTTAATTGATTGTTTTAAAACGATAAAACAACTAGAAAAACTTGAACAACTTAAGAGGTTGAGATTCATCAAAAGAAAACGCATACGTTTAATACATCCCCAAAGATAACAACATTTATTCTAGTATAGTTTTCGGATTAGTATTAAAATATTCTTATTTAAAAATAGTTTTACAGAGAACTTAATTTAATAAATAAAATTGTTAAATTTATTGAATATGACGCAGGTATGATTTTTAGGTTAGTTAATAAACATAAATTACCAAAGTAAGTTATGACAGCCTGTTTAGTAGTAATTTAAAAGTATTCATTTTTTGTGGTGCATGGTATTTTATAATATTTTTAAATTTTATTGCTTGAAAATAGTAAAAGCCAAGACAGAAATACCAGTAAAAATAATAATTATCGCAGGAGACAAATAATATAAATTAAATTCGTTTTAAATCAAATTTTAATTAAAATAATATTTAATATTCAGAAGTAAATAAAAGCGAGACTAAAGAAAACCAAAGCGCGACTGAAACTGATTTAAAAGTAAATTACTCCTGGCATATTAACAAACGTTTTTTCTTTACTATAATAACAATTGCGGTTCTTTCTTGTAGCGTTTACGAGCGCCGTTTTTTATATTGTTACATTTTTGTTTCTCCGGGTGATTTTCTTTTAATATGCCTCAGCAACTCTACAATTGGCCGTTGGTTGCTTTTTAATGTATCCGTTTTTTCGGGTTAAAAATGCTGCACGCACAAAGCTTGAGGAGCTATGAAAAATGCTACATTCAAACTCTACCAGCATTTATTGTGGCCAAATTCCGATGACTGCGAAATTTACTGCCTGCAAAGACTTTGTCAGAGAAATTCGCAAATACATTAAAGCTTAGATCCCTTTTACCGCCATGTCGAAATAAACTGTAAAACGAGAAAACTTTTGGAATTTCCACGCGATTTTCTGTTGCGGTAATTACCAATATCCTAGAATAACCTAATCGTATGCAGTTTTCATCGGGTTTGCGGTGTTCGTTACGATTATTTTTACATAATAATGTTAGCCAGATAATTTGTTTACTACAAGTATGCGCTATACTTAGCTGATCCGCCACCGTAGCTACCTACGTATATTTGTTTGAGACAGAGATCTCGTATACATTCACTATTATTGTTGTGTACTCGGCTAATGGTAAACGATTAAAATGTAAATGGGCGCGCGTAGATGTCACACAAGCCAAGATAACGCATTATAAGACGGGCCCAGAGTGTATTACGGCCTATTAAAAATTAAATGCACGATATATATTTTTTAATAGACGAATTAACAGCAATATCGTGTTGAACGTTTTCGGCCGGTCGTCGTGTGATGTACAAACGTCTCGTTTCCTATAATAAACCCGTCAAATTAGGCTTTCACTCTGCATTTCGACGACAAGCTAATGACGGTGCAGATACGGTTCCATTGGCTTTTATAATACAAAATATCATACATACGCTCTTGGCCCGACACCTCAGTAGGCGTTTAAAATACTATATACCTACCATATTATATTAGTGTGTGCGCAAACCATAAAAAACAAATACACATTGAAAATGAAAAATCATTAAACGCGGTGCCAATTTCATGCGGCTGTAGGATAATTAAATTTAATATCCTGTCGGAGACACTAAAAGGCTATAATACAATAATAATAAAAATTATAATATTATTATTTTTTTTTTTACTATCGTACGTCGTCCATTGTTTGTAAAAATAAGAAATACTCATTGTTTACATAGTAGTTAAATTAACCCGTGTCAACGTGACCGTCCAAAAGGACAATAGCGTGTACTATGCTAATCGTATCATTCCTATAGTGGTGACCAAAACAAAAAGCTTTTATTTTTTATAAAACAGAGACACCGTGTTATTATTATAATATATGTTATTTATTATAACATGTTGTTAAATTAGTTTTCTTGGAGAACACCGGGAGGATGCAGTTATTTGCGGCAAATAAGTGGGCGATCACTTAGTCCTAGGTCTTAAACAATAGGTTGTTTCCGTTGGTGCTACCGTTAATGTTTATTTTCTGTACATACAACGACGACAACCTGAAGTTTATTTTGGTTTTTACCCCTCGCCGTCATCAATTTCTTTTAACCTTCGGCGCACAGTCGCGTACATTAGGTGCCGTTTTACCGAATAACAGCACTCCGGAGGTATACAAATATTTCTACGTTTGTCTTCGAGTCTTATTGCCTCGCATGTGCCAGCTGTAAACCCATCCTGTTCAGAAAATTTCTGTGTGATGCTACTAAAATTAATATAGTGGCCATAGTGCTTTCTAATGTTTAAGCTATTACGGATACGTTTTAACTTTGAAAAGTCGACGGGTTCGGGGACAAACAGCCAAAGGGTATATAAATAATAACATGATAATTCGAAATTAGTTAAGTTTTAATGAATGACTTACGGCGTCGCCTTTTGGTCCGTCCAAGCCGATGGGACCCTGTAAAACACACACAAAACAATACAAATGTAAATTAATAAAATATAATGAGTGGGTATTAGTAGTTTGTCTTTTTCAAAGAATAAAAAAACAATATAAAAACAAGAAACCATGGTGTTAAAAAGTGTAATAAATTACGGCATAACAATGTGTTATTTGCATAATAATATGCGAATCACACTCTATAATAAATATTATTATAGAATGACGTGTAAATGAATGAGAGAATAGGTAATTGCGATGGCATGCGGTTAGTTAAGACTTAAGAGGTATGTATAAGCTAATTGTGGTAATCATGCACATGGATATGGATAGGATGGCAATAGTAGTACTGCTATGGGAAAAGGATGAATAGTGTATCCATGTTGCGACTAGTTGAAAAAACAAAAATCAAGTTTGTCTTAATAAATTTAATGGAACGCAAGCCGAACCGGGGGTCGGTGAGTTGATTACATAAACAGGAACTGCCATACAATAAATGTATGTACGAAGGCCTATCTATAACAAATTGCCTTAGGATTAACGGCGGCGTATGTAGGACGGGTTATCACGAGGCAAACCATTACACGCCGCCGTAGTCTTCCCCCGCGGAAAGAATAATGTTCAATATCAATATTGGTTTGGTTTTGATTTACTCGGTAATGGAATATAAGATGAAAAAAAGAACAAATAAATAAAAGAAATCATCCCCGGGCGCGTGATTGTTATCTATTTTTTACGCGCCACTGGTCTTAACATATTGACGAGGTACGTTTACAATATTTTTGTTTTATCTTAGTTGCTTTTACCTCCTGTGGAACTTGTCAAAATCATAACGTTCGGATGAAAAATAATCTTACTGCAACTCTCGGGATGGAAATTCGAACAGCGAACAACACGATATTATACCCGAAACCGATTGGATTTAAACGCTCAGATAGAGGTAATAATAATTAGACGCTGTCTATGAACTCTCGAATTGTATTATAATACGAGTATACAACCCTTTCCCTTACTCCGAATAAGGGTCAATGGTCTCCGGGTCCGTGAAACGACAGTATTTGCGCTGTTTATAATATATTATACTAAACAAGGTAAACGACGGGGTCATTTAAAGCTCTATCGCCGTTCGCGTTGGGGACTCGAATAATTTGATTTTTTCCCTTCAGTTTCGAAACCATTTCCACGGTCCAACAGAGACAATACAATACGGCAGTAACGCGATAAGCCCTCTCGGGATCCGACGGCAAAAACCTTTGGACGGGTGTTGGGAACTCGATTGCATTCCAGCGGTACAAGGAAGGTGTCCAATTACTCCCAATTTAAAATGATCTCACTAAATTCTAAACTCCCCAACCCCCGCCTCTCAACCAAAAAAAAAATTAGTTCATTACTCGATGAAGTTTGATTTATCACTTTATCATTCCTATCGGGAAATTTGGTTTATTTTTCTCACCTTTATAACCATAAATTATTCAGCGAATTCAGGATACTGCTATAGTAGATTCGGTACCCTAAGGATGATGTGGCTTTTGTGCATGACTTATAACCGACATAAGAACACAGACGAGACAAAAATAAATCGAGTTAATTAAGCGAAATACTCGTCTGATAGCGTGTTTTTTTTAATAAATTTAACTGTCCGCATACACGCTAGAGTGGTCTATTTCTATGAAAGCACACTAATCAGGCCAACCCCTCTACGCCAGTAATGCCTTGTCCGATTTTAACTCGGTGACGCATTCAATACGTTATGGTGAAAATATTTTTTTTTTATCAAACCCTCGAAGAATATTATATAATATAATGCCATACAAAAAGTTATATAGTTATATATGCACGCCAAGTGATTGTATAGTAGTATAACAGTTTATTAAATACATAATATTATGAAACTAAACGCTATAAAAAAAAATATCTGTCAATAATTTGAAATAAGAAATATTAAACTACCTAAATGCTACGGGCTCCCCTCGAAGTTAATTACAAGCATCTACATAAGTAAAATATATTATTTTATTTATTCGGTATTTAATTTTCCCTGGGAGCTATCCGCGCAGTAGTCGAAACACGTGTATTTCTTTGGAAACCGGAAAGTCTTCTTTTTCAATTTGTTTTTAGTTGTGTTCGGCCTTGGGCTTAAACTTATTTCCTTAACTTCCTTCGGTTTCCTCGTAATTGAACATAGAACAGTTAATACCGAAAAAGCAAAATTATTTTTAAATAAAATACTTATATAAAGTCAAAAGTCGCGAACGAATCCATTACACGCCATCAATAATATTGATATAGATATATGAAGTAGACGGGAGTGTGGAGTATACTTTATTTACAACACCAAAGTATAAGTAACAAGCGGTGGCATAATTATTAATGTATAAAACGTACGGAATACCACAAAGTTGTTTAAATGCTAATGGTTTTTCGCATAATATAGTATTAGGTGTATTACTACAGGTGAATTGTTACTAAAGAGCGTTTTGAATTTTTAAACTACAGAAGAAAATGAAGATATATTATAATATTAGGTACAAAACCAGCGGTAAAGAAAGTTCAAAAAACAATAGCCGATGAAAACGAAACACCGTTCAATATATTATATTAAAACTAAAATCAGAAAATATTGTTTAGTGAAAACCATAGTATATTATTGTGTTATTTTTTTTATTAATATTATATATTGTGTTTTGGTTTTGGATGGTTCTTACCATCAGCCCTCTGGCCCCTTTCATTCCTCTTGGGCCCTAAAAAATAAAAATAAAAGAACCGTCGAATTGAGTTTTCCTATAAATATATACATATAAACCTAATTGTTTTTACAAAATCACGAGATTAGGAACAGGGACGTCGAACGCGCTGGGGGAAGTAGCAAAGGAGAGCGTAAGGTATTCAATGAAAATTATTTTTCCAAAAACTCATACACACAGAGTCGATTTGTATATGAGTGCAGGTCGTGCAATTCTATGGTATGTAAGTACCGTGTGTGTGTATGTGCCTAAGCGTTTATTATGCGTTTCTGACAAAAAAAAACTGCAGAGTTTGCGGCTAAAGTATTTGTGTGCCCGGGTGGGCGAAATAAAGAAGACATTGCCAAAAAAACGTTCGGTCAAAATACGAGATAAAAATATGAATATTTCATTTGAAGTTAAAAGCCGTCATGTTGTTTTTTAGGAGTCTGGACAAAGTGATGATGTCGACGGTTCATCCAGCCAAAATATGAGAAAAAGTGTATTATAGTATTATAAACCGTGTGTGTGGCAACATGCGATGCTATTGCAGTAGGACGTGCCAAAACAAATAATCGCATAACAATAATATCATTTCGAAAATAAGAAAAATATGCGATGAATAAATACCGGAAAACCATTTTTTCCAGGAGGACCTGCCGGGCCCTGTAAAACATTAGCACAACAATTTGTTTTCACTTATTTATGAAGAATAAATAGAATATATTATTTTTATCACAAAGTTATGTGAAACAGTGGAAATCGTTTGTAACTGTCAATTTTTGCAAGCATGAATTTTAAATAAACTCTAAAATTTAAATTTATTTTGAAAAGAATAGATGGTTTATACCAGTTGACTAATCTATAATTATTTTTAATATATGTGAAAATAAATGTTACTAATGTTAATAAAAATATAAATTTTGACCAAATTTATCTTAAATAATTTTTTCAAATGAACTAAATATTAAAATTGTTTAACGATGTTCTACAAAAAAAAATATAATTAAAAAAAATTAACAAATAATTGTTCTTTAAAGTTTATATTTAATTTAAAGTGGTTAAATTGAATGGATGAAAAAATAACTTAATTAAAACGGTATAATTTTTAGTTTGTTATTTTACATTATTTTTGTATAATATTAGTTTTCTTGACAAATTCGTGGGCGATAGTAAGATTATAAATACTTTGCAGATACTTAACAAATTATTTATGAACAAATGACTGAAAACGATAAATATATGTTTTGAAATACCTACTCGTCTGACTGATGTTAACATATTAATGGATTTCTCGCGTTTATTTTCAAAACTAATGTGAGTACTAAAATAAATCTGAAGTTGATAAAAACATTATGTCGACTCGTAGTTAACAAGCAAGTAGTATTTAATACTGTGGGCCAAACAAAATCTGCTGACTGTTTACTAAATCGTAGAACTAAGATTTTTATGACCATTATAGCGATTGAAATTTTGAGTTATAAACAAAATATTACAATAAACGCTAACGGATAACTCTATATATAAATTTAAGGTAACCTCAAATATTTTTCTATTTTGGTAAAAAAAAGTATCATTAAACAATAACAAAAGTTTATGCAGTTGAATAGTCTATTCTGAGAAACAATCAATTAAAACTTGTATATTAGAACGCTAATCTCCATACGTCACTACTCGTGCATAATGAAAATTAATAGAATGGTCCTGAATAGTAGAATATCTGTCAAAGGGTAACTGATAGTTATTTAATTTGACATAATGAATTGTTTTTCATTCAGAGCGTTTTTGCGACCAAATTTATCAGAAAAGGATTGCACGTCAGCCGAAAATACCATATTATTATTATTTTTTAGCTTCAATGCGTTAGCTGAGAAGGTATTGTTCTATTATTATTCTACTCTGTTGTGAACGCTGCTGATGCCGAAATACGCGTACGCACGCCTACTTAAAAATGTATTATTTTTTGTGGTGAATGGTATCTTTTGGTTGTTTTCTTCTTTTTATTATTATTTATCAGTGTAATAAACCTCAAACTATTAACGGTTGTGCTGCCCTTTTCCGGTTTCGTAATCGTTATAGTGCACTTCAATAACAGCCCTAGCCCCTACGATAATTATTCATGGCACTATAATATATACATAGTATAATTTAAATACGGAGCCAAAGAAAAATATCCGACAGCACTATTACTAGCCGTTTGTCCCGGCATGAATAACGTATAATCAATAATGAAAATAAATAGACTCGTTATAACAATCTATACAAGGTCCGTTTGTAATAACATTAATCCGTAATGATCGACGTGACCTAACGCTTTGCCAAAAGTGTGTTCCACCGGGTAGAATAAGTCGTTGAAATTCTCTGCGCATAACATACTATGGTAACCGCGGACTATGGACATTGAACATGAACACATGACCGACACACGAGATGTTATCCAATTAAACGCCCACGGGTGCATTGCTCCGTTTATAAGTAAATATTTAGATTAGTGTGTCGTTAGATTTCAGTATCACATTTGAACTTTCAGTATGCAAAATTATATTCCGACTAAGAAATGTCACCTACTTATTTTATACTTTACCAAAATAATTATAACAATTGACTTAGAGTGTCGTTACAAACGATTTCCCCCGTCAGGGCGAGGCGTCGGATTGATTGCTTTCGAAATTACATAACAAATGGTTACTTACCGCCGGTCCCGGTTCGCCTTGATCACCTTTCTTGCCTCGTTTTCCCCTTTTACCAGGAGGCCCTGAAAAATGACATAAACGTATTCGATTAGCATCATCTCGCCTCTGTATATATACAACACAGTGATAATTTAATACGGCAATTAAGTCGGCACAACAGCTGCGGGTACCCTTCAAAAAGAAAAAAAAAATCTGGCGGGAAACGCTGTAAAGTTTTGCCGGAGTGACGAACGAGAAATATATGGTAATCTGACTGGGGAGGGCTAAGTCGCGTTAGAGCAAATGATCAATGATGCCCGACACCAACAGTCGCCCCTTCACCTCCTCCCCCTTTTAGGACAAAGAACCGTCGAACGTCTTTACTCAACGTTTTTGGCGGACAGTCCATGCGGTTAAACGAAATAAAAAAAAAAAGTTTAACCGATTCTTTTTCTCAATTCCCTTCCCTTCGCCTATGGATATTTCATATAATTTATCACTCGCCACCAATTGTCGTCTGTTTAACACAATATTACAAAGAATAGAAAACTACAAAGCGGAATGCCGACTGGCGTAAACCACCAATTGTTGTTAGCGACACAGAAAACAAATTCCGTTTATTTAATTTTTTTCTTCTCGCCATTTTAATCGCTAAACGTGTTACTCGAGTACACTATTTAAGTGACCGTTGGGTTTTCTTTAAACTGGTTTTGCCGTATGTGTGGAATATATAAACACACATAACCGAATCCGTAATGTTTTAAGCAAAAAAAAAATTACACTCTAGTGAATAGACTATAGATATGAAACTAAGTAAGTGGTTTAACTATCATTGACGTTTTCCGTTTATGCAATACGAAGTACGTAGGGAGGATGACACTTTACTATGTGATATCATATCACGTTGTATTTACCTTATGACAAATGTAGTAAAATATATTTTCCCTTCGAATGTAAAATAGAAGGCATTTTCGAAATAATCTGAGAAAGGTAGAGGAAGGAATAAGGACCTCAATTTTGACTTGAGACTTTGTATTCAGCGTAAAATTACATTAACTTAAACTCCCTCGCTTAAACTTAAACAAATTAAAGGAATTTAACTATTTCGAAATAAATAATAAACTACTGAAACTTTTACTTTCCTAATTAAGATATCTTTAGTAACTGCCTATATGAAGTCTCTACAGAAACGCCTTCGTTTTACTACTCAATACTATTCAACAGTATAGATTTATGGTTAATTAACCGAGAAAAATACGAATCATCTCATACGAGGATAAATATCGTTAGGTATACAATATATGTAAGTACGTTTCTGACAGACGACCATCAGACGAGTCTAATACGCGGTTGTATAATGTGACCGGCACGCCGGGTGGTAGTTGTAGTGGGCAAAGAAAGGCTTTTGGAGAGAAATGGGAAACTCGGACATGCGACGATCGGCCCCCGCAGTCGTACAATAATACAAGAACCAGATGTTTACCTGTCATTATCGGTAATTGACCACGGCGGACTCAGTTGTAAAGTTAAACGGCTGCCTAATGCACTCCGTTGTGTGCACAGTCTGAGTAACTGCACCGGAATTGTATAAAATATATAAGCGTGTGCAAGTATACATTATTTTAAAAACAAACGGATGGACATGTGTTTCACCTAAAAGCATTTCCGTTTACTACTACAATACGTTTTGCTGTTTTTTTTTAAAATTTTACTCGTAGTACTATAACACGAAATTCCTTAGAGCGTGCGTCTCTTTCCAGAAGTGGTAGTAACAAGGGAGGGACTGTTGTTATGGACCCCGGGGCTTTTAAATTGGTGCTGTTAAACGATCGGATGCGACCTAGGGATATATATATATATATATATATATATATATGTATATGTTCAAGGCGGGCGGTATAATAACATTATGTATTATATACACAAAAGCAATTTAAACTGCTCGTGGGATACACTGCCAGTGTCATGGTGCCCTGCGTATAATCGAAAGCACATTTTAATGAGGAGCTAAAATACCTCGGGCGCCAGATTTTCCGCCATTTTTAGATGATAATAACGTTTATCCACGATTTCCCCCACTATCTCTTTCTTTCATTTAGTCTTTTACCCCTCTGTCGTATGTTATACTCATGTTTTTATCATAACGTCATGTTAACATAAAAAGGTAATTATTTAAAATATAATAACTCCTCAGAATATCACCTCAAATCTCATACGGCGTATTTGAATTCAAAAACATTTACTAGAAACGCCGCTCAATTTAAATCCTTTTAGAATTTAAGATAGACTTTAATAGAAAGGAAAAAATAGTAAAATTCACATTTTAAAAGAATTCAATATTTTTTTTAACAGTTCAATGCGTGCAGACTCATAAAAAATGTATTTCCTAAGCACTAACTAACTAAACTACATTAAACATTTTATGAAACGTCCAAATTTTACCTTATTGTACAATAATGGGTTAAAAGCGTTAAACCAATATTAATAGCGACCGCTGTACGTTATATTTCCCTTTTACCCATTAGAATCACGTTTACTTCAACTTGGATATTTTACAGGGAATCTCGTGTTGTATAGAAATGTTAGAATCAAATTAACGCACGAAAACGATAAGCTTATAGTCTTTAATGGGGACTCTATGTCACCTGTTCTATTTAATCTAGTATTAGAAATGTTATAAGGGAAACTAATATCGGACCCCAGGAGGGGGTGTCACTACAAGAGTCTTCCATGGCATTATTGGCATATGCAGACGATTTGGTCCTTATGGATAAATCACACGATGGCCTAAGAACACTATTCGGCCGTTTGGAGGAAGCAGCGAAGAAGGTTAGCTTACAAATCAACGAAGGCAAAACCGAATACTTGGTGGTGGGGAGAAGAGATAGTACGAGAATGTATCCTTCCTTAAGAGTGGGTAACCATGAATTCAATCGAGTCAAACAATTTAAATACTTAGGTTCGGTATTGACCGAAAAAAATGAAACTGAAAAGGAAGTAGCAGCAAGAATCCTGTCGGGAAAAAAATGTCTTTACGGACTCACAAAGATACTAGGGTCACGGTCCCTGTCGAGAGAAATAAAGATACAATTGTACATTACACTATTACACCCTATATATACATACGGAGCAGAAACATGGACATTAAGAAAAACGGAAGAAAATAAATTTATTATTTTGAAGAGGAAAATCCTAAGAAAGATCTTTGGTCCAGTAAAAGACGAGGAAACTGACGGATGGAGAATAAGAAAAAACAAAGAACCAGACGAACTCTTTCATCATCCAAACATGTTAAATATAATCCAGAGTAGTAGGTTACAGTGGGCTAGTCACGCCTGGCGTAGTCAGAACCCACTACTGCATATGGTATTGGCAGAGAACCCAGAAGGGAAAAGGCCTCTTGGACGACCCCGTTTAAGATGGGAAGACGTGGTAAAAAGAGACGTAAAACCGTTAAATGGAGGCTCAGATTGGAAAACAAAAGCAGCTGACAGAGAGACTTGGAGGATTGGTTGTTTGACGGGATGGTCCTAGTGGCCGTTAATACTCAAGAAGAAGAAGACATGGTAGATTATAATAAATGATCTTTGTCAATGTAATTTTTAGAAAGGTAAATACATGGATTTATAAACAAGATAGTATAATCAGGGATACTGTCATTATATTATAGTGTATAAAAAATACATTACTGGGGTAGGTTTTCGTTGATTGCTTACACAAAAAGATGTTTTTTTTTTTGAGAAGTTTCATGAGAAATCACACACAAACCCGGCCGCTTTTAGGGATTTATTTTAGCCGCCGGTGTGGGTTACAAGAAAAGAAAATACCAAGTTGTAATTCGACCTTGCCGGCCACCGCGCACTGATCCGACGGCTTTACTGCATTGTACCCATTACCCGCTAATCTCGATGGAGAATGTATACGTGTGCTGTGTGCGCGGTGGAAGTTATCGTCCGAAAGATCTGTAAAGGGGCCGGGGCTCGCGTCCATCATGATCGTTTCACATTAGTCACGGACTGGGTACAACAACGATAAGGCTCCACAAGGGAGAAGAAAACGGTATTTTCTTTTATTTGTCCCGGCCGCACGTTGTCGATACAACGCTAATACCCCGGGCAACGGAACACCTGAGCTTTTAGGCGCTAAAAATAAACAAAAAACGATTAAAGTACAAACTGAAAAATGGCTGTAATCGTTCTCCATGAAAATCGCATTCCACATCCCCTTATAAAAAGAAATCAGTTATCACGACTAATTTTGTTTAATGTTCAAAAAGTAATGATTTTAGTTTCCACAAGACCCTAAAATATCAAGAGATAACAATCGTAGTTTTAATAACTATATTCAGGTACGGGTCTAAAAAAACCCAAGAAGTGTTTTAAAAGTAATTTATCTAAAAGTGGTCTACCCGTTCATAATTTGAATTTAAGCAGAAAATAAATGATCAGTTGTACACTATATTTGTTTCCTTATCTTCAATGCGGTATTGTTTTTACAACAATGATTTTTTTAAATTATTATTATTAATTCACTTATATGCCTAGATAATATCTCCTAAACTGCTGAACTGGTTTCCTCGTGTAGCAAGTCTATAGATAAAAAATCATACCTAATACACACACTTTACTGGGCCAAAAATATAAAAGCCTAACCTCCCCTTCAAATTCCATTAAGACACCCTAACAATGTACATAGTTTCACCCTAACATTACTCATTTTTAAAAATAGTTTTTTTGATTTTTCCTTAATAAAAAAAATTATTAAAATTACAGAGTTTTGAGAAAATTGTATAATATAATATAGCACCATTCTAGATCTATTCTCAATCTAATTTTCAGTCCCTATGTCCTAAAACTTCGCCCAATAAAGAGGGAGAAAAGAAAAAGATTTCTAGGGGAACGGGCTTATAATATTTTTTCATTTTGTCAACTTTTATCGATAGTACTTTACTGTCCACCATATTTTAGGCTCTCGCTTCGCTACTGCTCCAATGATATCGTCGTCATCGTGCCAAGAGTGACCAAGTGTTAAAAAGTGACCATACTCAAAAACATGTATAAATAAACATGTTTTTCACTTGGTC